GGAGGAGCTCTGCTCAGCCACAAGCCAGGCTGATGGCTGCCAGTACAGCGGTGGAGGTTGGAGCCTCTCCTGCCGCCTCAGCAGCACTAAGGATATCCTGCAGCAGTTTAGGCCTGCTCCCCGCTGGCAAGTGGACATCCCCCGAGGGCTGCTGGGCTGTCAGAGGGATGTCTGATTGCCATAGGCCCAATCTGAGGGGTCCCAGACTGGGAAAGGGCACAGGCCGGGCTGAGGGATCCCCCCCGCCCAGTGCACAAATTTTTGTGCACCGGGCCTCTAGTATTATATATCCTGCTACTTAACACAAACGCATTTTTCTATCAATTTGTTAAAAAGAATATGCTATTTATAAGTAATTCAGGCTCGAGGTGTAAGAAAAGATAATTTGAGGCAATATTCATAAAAATACACAGGAAAATTCAGCACTTCCACTGACTGGTTCACTCCACTGGTCCAAGCATAAAGGAATGAATCTTAAGTTTAGAATAGTTCAGTAAATGCAGTAGTGGCGATTTTCCTATTATTTCCTTTAAAAAAAATAAAATCTTGACAACCCAGTCCAAATCTTGGACATACCCAAGGCTACAAATTCTGCCATTTTTTAATACCTCCTGTGGGTGTCGATGGCTCGCCTCCCCCTCCCGCGTAAGCTGCATAGCTCCCGTGGAAGCAGCTGAGGGCCTACTGCCCGCGATATTGTGCGATGGGCTACTAGTATTATAATAAAACCCCACACAACAAGGATTATAGTCCTTATTTTACGTGTTTGCTTCTAAAGTAGAATAAAAGCTCCTTGAATGAAGTGATTGCCTGTAGACCACTAGATACTCATGAGCGTTGCAAGGTGCTTGTATCCAGGCAGGTACTGAGTGACTTTTGGGTAAGTATTCATTTGGGTATTTATCATTGAAAGTCAGAGGAGATTTTTCTTTATGTTTCCAGGTTCCTGTGGTCTCTGTGATGGCTACTGGTTCTTCCCTAGGGATAATGGAGTAGTAGTTTATACTGTTACACAGGGCAGTCAGGAGATTCTGAAAATCAAATAAAGCCACCAATGAGATGTCAGAGATATGAATGGGATGGGGTGGGGCTCAGACAGAAGAGTGTATTTGAAGAAAATTAAATTTGGCAAGAAAAGGACAGAGTGACAGGAAAGAGCAGGGACAACAGAACATCAGGTAGGAATTGGAAAGCCATTTGGTTTTATGCTTTCATTGTCTGAGTGAGAAGAAAATGTCCCCAGAGGTAAACTGACTTTTCAATAGCGCATAGGACTTAGTCTATAGAGGCTGAATTAGAGAAAGATGAACAGAATGAAGGCTGGTAACAAGGGGAGAAGTTGAAAGTCAGAAGTGGAGGGGAAATGAGAGGCTGAATCAGTGCCTAGAGTTTAGGGAAGGAGCATTTTTTTTTTTTTTTTGGTGGTGGTTTGTTGGTAGAAGAAGGAAGTCAGAATTGAGGTATTGTGGAGCAGTTCTATTTAAAACAGAAGCTAAAGACAGACTTTCCTGAGAAAGAAATAACATCAGTAAATGAAATGCTGTTTCTGCAAATTTCATTGCTAGGAGTTCTCCTCGCAGCTGGTGACAATGAAGATGGTAAGAACTCTGGCAAATGCCCTGTTGGGTGCAAAAGGGTGTGTGTGTGTGTGTGTGTGTGTGTGTGTGTGTGTGTGTTTCTGTGTGGTGTGGTGTCCCCAGAACATACCTGGAGAGGAGAATGTCAGCGTAGTTCTCAGTATCCCGTACTCTGGGACCCTGTGCCCTTCTGAAGGTTGTTTCTAAAGTCTGGGGCCATGGGCAGCTGAATGTCTGCTGAGGTAGCCATGGCTTCCCTTATCTCCACATTCTGAGTGTTTCCTTCCTGGCACCTTTCTTCATTCTCTCTTCTTCCCGATGCCTTTTCTTCTCCTCATTCTATCTGTTCTTTAGCCACAGCCTTCCAGGAGGAGATCCCCTTCAAAATGATCCACAGCTCATCCTTCTACAACCATTCCTGGGTGAAAATTCAGAACTCTGCTTGGTTGGATGACTTGCAGACTCATGGCTGGGAAACCAACTCTGGCAGAATTATTTTCCTGCGTCCTTGGACCAAGGGCAACTTGAGCAAGGAAGAGATAAAAGGACTGGAAGGATTCTTCCATAGGTTCTCCATTCTAATGCCTCAAGTAATTCACAGACATGCCAGTCAATGGAAGTTTAAATCTAAGTTCAATTCCCAAAATGGGGAGGTGCAATGTGCTGGGTGAGGGGTGTGTGTCTCAATGAGTTCCTTATTCCAATTTTCCCGTACATTCAATCCCTTCAGCATTACGTCTGTACATTTATTGTAACCTATTGCATTTCATTCACCCTACGTCAGTGGTTCTCAACCTTCTGGCCCTTTAAATACAGTTCATGTTGTGACCCAACCATAAAATTATTTTCGTTGCTACTTCATAACTGTAATGTTGCTACTGTTATGAATCGTAATGTAAATATCTGATATGCAGGATGGTCTTAGGCAACCCCTGTGAAAGGGTCGTTCGACCGCCAAAGGGGTCTCGATCCACAGGTTGAGAACCGCTGCCTAGAGCCTTAAATCCCTTAATAAATAGGTTGCTGAATTCTGCCAATAATGAATTTTTTTTTTATTGCTTAAAGTATTACAAAGAGTATTACATATGTCTCCTTTCCCCCCCTTGACAATCCCCCAACTTCCCCTAACCCCCGTGTCTTATGCTCTCACCATTTATGTCACGTTCTCTCAACAATTTGCTCACTTCAATTTCAAAAAAAAGTCATTATTTCTTCCACTTTCAACTACCACCAATTACACTTTTTCTGAACTTTTGATCAAACCAGACTTTGTTCCATATTTCAAAACCCCCAAACTTCTTCTATTTCCTTTTTTTGCTTCCACTAATTTCATCTTTTTATTCCCTCTAATTTATAATCTCTCTTTCCTAGATCCCTTTGAGATTCAGATTACATTAGGATGTGAGCTGAACCATGGGGGAGCCATAGTAGGCATCTATGGATTCGCTTATCAAGGATCAGATCTCCTGCAATTCCAGAACAATTCATGGCTACCAACTGCAAAGGGTGGAACAAGAGCTCAGGATGTGAGCAGAGTATTCAATCAGTACCATGTCACCAAGAGTGAAGTACAGAGCATTCTAAGTGACACCTGCCCACGTTTCCTCTTGAGTATCCTTGATGCAGGGAAGGCAGATCTCCAGAGACAAGGTCAGTCCCATATCCTTCCTCCAAGAATTTTCTAAAATTATGCCTTCTCACGATCCCTTTAAATTGAGATAAGGAGTCAAAAGGGAGAAGGATAATGGGTGATGAATTCCCAGCATGTCATAGATGTGTCCGTCTAAACCAGGGTGGGAAAACTTTTTGACTCGAGGGCCACAATAGGTTCTTAAACTGGACCGGAGGGCCGGAACAAAAGCATGGATGGAGTGTTTGTGTGAACTAATATAAATTCAAAGTAAACATCATTACATAAAAGGGTACGGTCTTTTTTTTTTTAGTTTTATTCATTTCAAATGGGCCGGATCCGGCCCGCGGGCCGTAGTTTGCCCACGGCTGGTCTAAACTGATGTGAAGATATGAACCTCCAAGTCTGTGTTAGAGTCCTTATCTTAATACTAGAGGCCAGTGCACCAATTTGTGCACAGGTGGGGTCCTTTGGCCTGGGTGGCGATCGGGGGTGATCAGGTCCGCCAGCCGGGAGGGACAGCAAGACATGGGCCAGCCGGGGAGGAGGGCTCCAGGGTGTGTCCAGCCCGTCTCACGCAGTCCCGATAGGCCGGACCCCAGCAGCAAGCTAACCTACCAGTTTAAGCGTCTGCGCAGTAGTGGTCAGTGAGCATCATAGCGACTGGTGGAAGAGTCGGACAAAGGGTTGAATGAATGCTCGGACACTTAGATTACACTTTTATTATATAGGATCTTTCCTGTTCTCTGCAGTAAAACCAGAGGCATGGCTGTCCACTGGCTCCAAGCCTGGTCCTGACCATCAGATGCTGGTTTGCCATGTCTCTGGCTTCCATCCAAAGCCAATTTGGGGAAAGTGGATGCGAGGTGAACACCTACAACAGGGCACTCAACAAAGTGATATCTTGCCCAATGCTGATGAGACATGGTACCTTCAGGTTTTCCTGGATGTGGAAGCCACTGAGACATCTGGCCTATATTGCCGGGAGAGACATAGCAGCCTAGGAGGCCAGGACATCCTCCTCTACCTGGGTAAGAATAACTGGGGCCCACACTGGGAAAGGGAGTAGATGGCCCACAGCAGAGCAGAAGAGCCAAGTAAAACATTTGGGATTTATGGACTCCAGACCCAAAAGAATGAAACTAGTTCAACAAATAGAAGAATTGAAAATGAGAGACCTGCAGAAGTAGAAAGATGTTGAGGGTTAGATGAAAGATTCATCTCTGAAGAGGCAGGAGAGAGGAAACAAGAACAAAGATTAGTGAGGTGAACACGCAAATCAAAAAGACAGACCAGGGAAAGGCAGTAAACGGGGTGGGTTTGAAACGACACCTTGTGTGCACCCAAACCCACAGAACATCATCAAGGCTCCGTGGGCTGGATCATCTTGGCAGTGATGGTGCCCCTGGTGCTTCTGACAGCTCTTGCATTTTGGCTTAGGAAGCGCTGGTGAGTTTTTGTGCCCATCTTTCCTGTTCTTTCATCCACTCTCTACTTATCTTCCCACCTTTCTTCTCTCTCTTCTTAGTCCTTCTTTCCTCAGTCCCTTTCCTTTTATCTTCAGTTCTCACCTCCACCTCATGCAGAGTAACTTCCATCTCTGTTCTTATTAGGTCACACTGTAAGCCGCCTGCCAGTCTTCTTCCTTTGGAATGAGATCCAGCAGCCCTGGGGTTCCAGACATATTTAAACGCAGCATGGCGATAATGTCCGTTCAGTTCTCCATGAACAACTTTGGTTGCTTACATATTATTTTTGTGTTTAACAGTTAGTTATTAATATAAGCTAAAGTTAATTTTGCAGGACTTGCTTTCTGACCTGGTTCAGAGATTAAAAAAAAGTCTAATTTTAATCTGGATAAAATGAGATCCTAGCAACCACTACATATTGAAAAATTGATGAATCTCAGGCCACTTTCAGTTGTCACCTTTTTATGGGGGCCTTCCCTGATTCACAAGTGGAAGCAGCGCCTGAACTCCCATCATGCTTTTCAGTGGACTTTGCTGAATCTACTTCTCACTTTTTATCCGTTGTTGCAGTCATATAGGCCCCTTTTCACCTTCTGATTTTTAAGCTTGAGAGCAAAGTCTGTCTTTTTAAAATTCATATCATTTGCGAAGTGTATAACTGTATGTAATATACTTTCAATAAAAACCTGTGTTAAGTTTGCTTAGCTTTTATCACTAAGATCAGGTACCTAAAGTTCTAGAGCAAGGAAGGAGAAAACAAGGAAGTAACAAGTGACAATATTATATATCCTGCTACTTAACACAAACGCATTTTTCTATCAATTTGTGAAAAAGAATATACTATTTAAAGTTAATTCAGGCTCGAGGTGTATGAAGAGAAAATTTGAGGCAATATCCATAAAAGTACACAGCAAAAAACTCAAGAAGGACAGACTTTATTTTAACATAAAAGTTCTATTTTCTTGTGAGGCAGCAACAAGTGTTCAGATACAGGGAATACATAAGTATATAGTAACAATATTTATCACCATTGGAAATGCTGTTCTTTTAGGGATAATTTTATTAGAAAAACAAAAATTTTAAAAATTGCATTTAAAAAAGATTTAAACAGCTTCAACAGAGATTAAAGATACAAACTTTAAAAAAACATAAATTATATTCTTCAACAGGATTGCATAAACAAAATATATTGTTCAGGGCTGCTCTGCCTATCATTAATTTAAGGCAGAGTAAAACTTAAACCTTAAAGTGCGGAGTTAAGTATTCTTAGTTTAATGCAAATTCAACACTTTCACTGGACCGGTTACCTCCACTGGTCAATGCATTAAGGAATAAATCTTAAGTTTAAAGTAGTACAGTAAATTCAGTAGTGGCAATTTTCCTGTTATTTTCTTAACAAAAGAAAATCTTGACAACCCATACCTAATCTTGGACATACCCAACGCTACAAATTCTGCCATTTTTTAAATACCTTCGAGTAAAAGCCAACCATTGAAAAGAAAAAGCCTGTCTTGTTGCCAGTTATCCCACAGGTAGCAATAGCACCTTCTAAAATGCGGATTTGGCTTGTCATTAGTGTAAGAAACATTTTAAACAACATGAAGAATCTAGAGCAAAAATAATTTTGGCATCCATGCTCACATTAACCAAAAAGGAAAAACAGATATTTTTAAAAACATAACTGCTCACAAAAAAACACGACAAGCAACAGTAAAACCAGTAAATTCACATGATCAAAACCAGTACATTCACATGTTTTTATCACAACAAATTCTTTAAGGGTAAAAAAAAAACAAAAAAACTTAAGACGGATAAAGTAATTAACCACAGAATAGCTCCTTTTGCCAAAATATACATGCCACCTATTTCTTTTACTACAATGGAAACACATTTAAAATTATAAAAAAATTAAATTATATTCCCATTGAAGTTATTCTAATTTACTGACTTCCTGTACAGTTTTCTATAGAATAACAATTGTAAAATATAATTTTAGAAAACATTGAGACCCATTAAAAAAAAATCAACCCCTTGTGAACTAAGGGTTAAATAAAGTGGAATGGACCTTAGTATTTTTTCTAGACTGCGATAAAGCTCCTATGTTTAAAATTAGCCCTTTGGCGCTGGCAGTTAAAGTTGTTTTTAATTTGTACCTTTTTTTTCTTCTTCTTCAAATGTCAGGCTCTATCTCTCCCAAATCCACGGGATATGCTTGGTTGCCATACAATTCATTTATCTACAAATTCACATTCTCCTTACAACCAGACATTACAAGTTCCATTTACAAAGACTATGTAAATAATAAAGTTATCCCATTCCTATTTTAAATTACTTTAGGTTAAGGATATATGAAACTCTACAGAAAAATGTGAAACAGACCAACATGCACAGCAGAGTAAACGGAAAAACTTTACAAAGTGGCATTCAAAATACCCTTGTAACTTGTAGGGATGGAGACACAAGAAAGTTAAGTGTGAGGCAAAGAAAAGAACACGGATTTAACAGAACTCAAGTCATCCAAAAACAGGCGTGTTTTTTAACCTTGTCTTTAACTTCTTGTTCCTGCCTTTTAGATTAACTCACCTGACTTCAGTTTTACCTTTCCTGTACTGCTGACAGAGCAGTTCTCTGTGATGAAATGGCCAAGTCAAAGGCAAAGAATCAAAGTTCTCAGTAAACCAACCAGAACATTTACATCCTATATAACTGACTTAGAAGCCACATGTACAAATTCCAAGTAAATTAATTTTAAACAAAAAAGGTACCAAAATTCATCAGTCTCACCAACTAACCTGACAAGAGTTATTTTTGAATTTATCTAACTTCCCTAAATACATCTTCATTTTAACTTTAACAGAGCATGCTTTTCATTACTTAGATATTTTAAAGTTGCATGAGTATAAGAAGTCCTTTCAGAAGATGTATTGCTACCACTAGGTTTTCCTTGATGGGCATGTCTGGATAAACTGACATAGTTAACCCTCTAAACTGTATCCCTTTACAAGTATTTAAATTTTTCTCCCTTTAATATGTATAAGAACATTACATCATTGCATCATAAGGTAGTATATAAAGACCTCAGAAGGATGCTTGTTGCCAACACAGTTTGCTGGAACTCACTTTTTAAAAGAGCTGCTCCTGAATTTTACTACCACATTCCATGCATTGAATACTGCTGACACGGGACATTGGCAGTAACTGTATTAGGATGAGCCTAAATCCAAAACTGGATGGATTTTTCAAAGGTTCCTGTTGCTTATGCCCCAAAACCCTCCTTTACCTGTTTTCCCCACTGTGTGGAATGTTGGACGGACAACTAGCCAAACCTGTAGGTAACATCTCAGTGCCAACTACATAAAGAAAATGTCAGTCGCAAGATTCTGTGACTACAGATTGCTATTCAATGGATTAGGCTCCTGGCAAACTACCCCGGACCAAGTCCACAAGACAACATCACAAAAGCAAAGAAGGAAATCCATGCACCATCATTTCAGGATCTCTGGGACTATGATACAGTGATGATGAAAGGTAGGATGATACCTGTGGTAAAAGGAGATCATGTGACAAATACTGTGCAGAAAACCAAAGGGGCTTATTACTCCTAGCTAGCAATCAACACTGCGTTGCTTCCTATTGGCTCATGTACTTTCAAACCAACTTCCAATGATGGGTGAGAACTTGTTAAGCACTCATCTCCAGACTACAATTTTTCTGAGCACATGGTGGAATGTACACAGGAGTAGTGAAGAGAACAGCAGTTTTACAAATATTTTACCCAAAGCACAAACTTCTGACATCAAAAAACATAAATCACATCATGTACTAATATTGCTTTTTATTTCTTTTTTTATATACTTGTTCAACGCATTTACTTATCAATTCTTGTTTGGGAGGAGAACACAGTCATGAGAATAAGATTGCTGGGAAAATGTCAACAATCCCTTTGGTCCCAAAGCTGAAAACAGCTGAGAAAAGCACACATTGAGAAAGGGAAACAAGAAACAGAGGCCACCAAAGAATCTTTTGAACATCTGTTTGCTACGTTTCAGAAAATGTCACATTGGTTTTATAAAATAGTCATTATCATATAAAAGATGGTTCTTGCAGCATCATTCACGTCTCCAGGAATCATTTGCAGGGGTCAGTGTTTTGTTGTGTTTTTGTTTCTAACGAAGTTTAATTTGAAAACAAAACAACAACAACAAAAAAGTGATATCAGCCCACCAAAAGCAAAGAATGAGACCTTTCTGTTTCACCTGGCGCTTTAGGAGAAAGCAGGCTAAGCACTGAGGGCTGGCCTTCCAGCGAGCCGGCCACCAGAGGGTGTTCTTCCAGAAGCTGTGCTGGGAGTCACCCTGGAAGCCTGAGCAGGGCACAGCCAACTGAGCGCAAGGTGCCATCACAGTCAGGAGATCTGAGGGAGCAGTGGCTACGCAGCACTGGGACCTACCCTTCAGCCTCCTCAATTGGTTCGGGTGGTGTGAGTAGCGAGGCCGATGGCATGATTGTACTTGTTCCTCGGGAGACTCGGTCTTGCTCTGCAGACAGGGAGGCCATGGCGATGGGCTGCAGCAGAGTGGTCGTCATGCCAGTGGTGACTGTCAGGCTGTGGCCAGAGCCCTTGAGGGTAAGATCTGGCGTGGGAAGGAGTGGCTTGAGGATGCTGACGAGGCAGAAAGCAGAGCCGCTTTTAGGAATGAAATTCACCTTGTTTTTGTCAGGACAGTAAAAGGCTGGGATTTCATGAAGTTGTTTTGGCCTAGATTGGAACAGACAACCCAATGCATTTAAGTCACAGAACAGTGGAAATACATTCCTTTATTATTATTTTTTAAAAGCAGATAACAGACACATACAAAGAATATAAAATTCAAGCTACGTCAAAAGCTATGGACCAAAGAGGGATTAGACACATGATTCAAAATCTGTATTTCAGAACGCTGGGAGGACACCATTCACCTTGCTGCTGTCAGTTCCCTGGTGAGCCCAGGGCACCATAAGCTTTCCCAAGCTGCCAAAAGGGTCCATAGCACAAAAGAGGTAAAGAGCTCCTGCAAGAGGGGCTGAGAGATGTGATAAAACAGCTTGTAAAAGGCTCACAAGGAGCACAGGGAGTGACAACCAGTGCACAAAGGAGGAGGGAGAGTTTGGGGAGAAGCAGCCTTCCAAAGGAAGTCACACCTGAGCTGGGTGGTAAAG